GGTGGGCATCCAGCAGTTTGTAGCCAGCTGCACGCTTTGAACGCCGTTTCGTCGGTGAAAGACCTGCATTATTATGTCGCTGCCAGCTTCGAAGCGTGTGGCTTGGTGTCTGGCATGTGTCAACTGCATACTCCTCGCCTTGGGCACTCTGAGGTCCACTAGGGTCCATGAGGCTTAGAAGGGGTGGCTTAGGCTTGTGTGGCCTTTTGAAAGACAATTCTTATTTGTTTAAACTACGAACCATTGAAGCCCGCATGAATTTCTTAGGGTGTTGATGTATGCTACAAAATCCCAATACAATCAAATTAGGACGAGGGCCTGGAAGAGGACTTTTTCTTCGGGTGAAAATTATCGAATTTTACCGAATGTAGGCCTGTTCTAGCGGTTTGAAACAATTGGTTTGGCCCCCCGTTTCGGAATCTCTGGAATTTAAAGTTTGACCATGCTTTAGAGGAAAAAGGCCCTAGTGTAGGAATGTAAGGAAGTTGAGATTTCAGGATTTTGCTACGTTTAAAGCAAATCCGGCAGACTTGTGTTGTTTCATGTTTTGTTTTGGCTTCTAGAGAAGTCAGCTCCTTTTTGTTTCAAGTTTGGTATGGGTGACGTGCTGAATTCTGCGTGTAGTTTGATTACTGTCTTTCTTCTGAAGGGCAAAAGTGGCAAGTAGACAATGCTAGCAGGGAGTGTGGCTACATGGGAGGGGGTCCTATATATATATATACACACATACATTTTTTTTATGTATGTGTGTTGTTGAATACTCTATACAGCATATATATATATATGTATATGTATATATATGTATATATATATATATGTATATGTATATATATATATATGTATATATACATATATGTATATATATATGTATATATATATACATATGTATGTGTTTTTTGTATATATATATATATGTATATATATATATATGTATATATATGTATGTATATATATATATATGTGTATATATATATAATAGTCATGATTGTTGCTACTGCTATTATTCCTGCAATGTTTATTTGGAGCTGCGCAATGTCGTTCGCAGAGACATCAGTTTCATTCTTTGGGGCCTTTGCCAAGTCTTTAGCTGCACTGGATTCTCACGCTGCAACCCAGGCGCCTTTTCAAAATTCATGTCTGCGGCGGCTGCAGCTTTCGGAAGCAGCCCGCACCTGTGCTGCAAGGGCTCTCCAAATTCTGAAGCAGAGAAAACATTTTCGGATCCTGCATGCGCATTCTTACTTCCATTCTTTCTGCCAGCCTTCTGATGCTCTCTGCCAAGCTTATGATGCCCGTGAGTCTATATCTGTTGCAACTCGTCGTGGTAGGAAGGAACGTGAGTTCCAACTACAAAATCGTTTGTAGTTCGCACTTTGGGGAGGGGTGGGGGGGTATCAACTTCATCTTTGATCGGCGGTTACGGGTAAGCCTGGCTAACGTTTTAAAGCGCTATAGAACAAGGGGGCCCAAATTGCAGTACAGTCCAAGGAAGGCGTACACCATCCCTGCTGGCGATGCGCAATGTGCCACCGTCACCAGGCTCGTGCTGGACTTTAAGGCCGGATGTTGGTCGAGTTCTTGCCTTTAGTGCATATGCTTTATAGGGATCAGGGTTTAGGGTTTGGTTGTAATAAGGGTTTATGCAGGCTCTGATCTGTGATGGTTGCTGTCAGCGCAAGGCGACCGGCAGGAAGTCGTCTGCCGTGGGCTTTCTTGAGAAGCGCATCGAGGAGTTTGGGTTGAGTTTGTTGGTGTCGCTGCACATTGGCCACGCCTCTAAACCCTAAACCCAAAACCCTAAACCCTAAACCCTAAACCCTAAACCCTAAACCCTGACTGGTACATATGCCCACATATACTCCACAATCCATGAATCCGCGCCCCGCATCTTCCAGACTTGTCTTCGCTTGTGGTTGAGCCAAGAACCCTAAACCCTAAACCCTAAACCCTAAACCCTAAACCCTAAACCCTAAACCCTAAACCCTAAACCCTAAACCCTAAACCCTAAACCCTAAACCTTAGCAGCCTTCCCTGCCTGGGCCTTATTGCTTTTTCGGGTTCAGGGTGTCGGGTTAGCCCTGAGAGGGTTTAGGGTTACTGGGACCCAGAGTAGGCCCTTACTCCCAATTTTAGGGTCTCGGCTCCGTCATAAGCCCGTTTAAACCAAAAAGTTGGGTCTAGGAGATCTGTGTTCGGACTTCAGGGTTGCCCAGATGCCATGATCTGACAAGATCTGACTTGGAGGTTTGCAGGGATGTCGGGCTTCAGAGTGAGAGCTTGGACAACCAGGGTTTAGGGTTGAGGGTTTAGGGTTTAGGGTTGAGGGTTTAGGGTTTAGGGTTTAGGGTCATGGGCCTGTAGTGGCTTTGGGGCGTTGAAGGGGGTAGTCCCTGCACGCGAAATTTCTGTTGCAGCTCGGACGCCCACGACCCGGGGTGAGGCAAAATTTGAGTGTCTTGATGTCATAAACCCCAAAACCCATAAGCCCTCAACCCTAAACCCTTTAATTACAAGCCATATAGAATCAAGCCCATGGCTCTCAACTGGCTTTGGCATCGTCCATCAGGAGCGCCATCTCTCAAATGTGACCTCAAATGTGACCTTCGCGGCAGTTCACCGGCATGAGGACGGATGGTAATGGCTCGCAGTGGCCCACAGAAATATACATGGGTGGTTGTCAAAATTATGATCCCTTTTGGGGTACCCTAAATATTAGGTGCCGTATTATAATAGGGATCCAAAAAGGGACCATAATTTTGACAACCACCCACATGTAAATGCAATACAAGTATGCAAGCACGAAACATCTGCATGTGGCATGTACCTTCACAAACCACCAACATGCAGAAGGGAATGTATGTTGTGGTGGCGGGGCTTTGGGGTTGGGGGTTTAGGGGTTTAGGGGTTTAGGGGTTGGGGGGTTTAGGGGTTTAGGGGGTTAGGGGGTTAGGGGTTCAATGAACAGCAAACGCTTTTCGATTGCTGGCATCCTGCCCAAGCGTGTCCAACAGTAACGATAGTTTCCGGCCAGGCCTTGAAGCATCCCTATCCACCTTGAAAGCCCTAAACCCTAAACCCTAAACCCGAAACCCGAAACCCTAAACCCTAAACCCTAAACCCTATCGACATCCATGACAGGCTCAGACCTCCACCGCGTTGCCCAGGATGCTTAGAAACATCATTCTGCGTGCCCTGGATGCACTTGGAATCAGCAGAAGCGGCATATTCATACACATAATATATATATATATACATAATATTTTTTATAGTTATTATATTTATAGTTATATTGATATCATAGATTAGATTAGATTATTATATTATATTTCATTACATGACAGTATGTGGTAACATCTTTGAGTCACAGAGATATCAATCGTTGAGCCGGCAAGTGTGTAGGAATCCACTACTTCTTCTTCCAGGGCGGCTACACGAGCCCGGGTTGCAAGAGATTGGATCTTGAATCTTTGGTAGGCAGCAGGAAGATGATCAGCCGACATATTTGCAGCAGACAGGCTGGAGCCTCCACCCCCTAGAGCCCCAACTGCATGTCCAGAAGCAGACTAAAGGAAGCAGGCCTGCTCATAGCTCTAGCGCCAGCCTTTCACAACCGGGTGACTGTCTGAACTTTGCCGTCCTGACAGGAAATTCTTCGGAATCGCAACTTCCGATCCCGGCTGCAGAAGCGGAGGGGGGCGTGCGCCGAGCTTGTGGAGTGGATCCCTCGTGCGCTGCAGCCGCTGGCTGATGTGTGTGACTTGCTGACGAGCCGATGCGCCAAAGTCATCCTAATTCCTTGGCGACTGTACCTGGACCTGCAGCTGAAGCGATCACTGCGGATTTCACAGAGATGGCCCATCACGGCTGCCCATGTAGCCAGCTATATGGCAGTCAGGATTGCCTTGTGATATCCGCGCAGCTTGGAACCCCGTCCCCCAGCGCGCAGACTTGGAAGTGGCTGAAAAAGCTGTGCATCACAAGCTGCAACAGAAAGGCTGCATGCTACGCTCTTCCACGTCCTGCCACAGCAAGCACGTGTCAATCTGAGCATAACCTCGCGATCACACCTTTCCGAGGACGGACGCGGCAGACGGTTTGCTCAGCGACCGCGACCTGACGCAGGCAGGTGGCAGGGTTGAAGCATGTTGATGCCCCGGCATGAATCCACATGGATGACTCTACTCGCGCGCATCACTTTTCTTGTTGCGTGGCCTCGTCCTCACACTGCACATCACATGGGCCACGGCAGCTGTGAGCATTCAGGCCCTCCTTCGGGCAGACAACGTGCGCTCCTCAAACTGTGGACTTTCATTCACATGCTGTGCCCGAAAATCAAGTGAATCAAGTGGCTATGCTGGGGCATGCTCCCTAAACCCTATAAACACTAAACCCTAAATTGCAGAGCGTAGAATTCCGAAGAGAGGTCCTGATCCCCTGCATCCTCGAGTACCAAGAGGAGCTGGTTCAAGCCAAGAGGTCCAGTCCCAAGCTTGTCTGTAATCAATCCCTCCCCCTAATATAAACCGATATAAACCCCGATATAAACCCCCCACGTACCTTCTGATATTGGATATTCCCATGATATTCCCCATACGCTCAGAATGGGACATTTAATATTGAGGGGTTGGGGGGTTTAATATCCTGGGGAGGGAGAAGTTTTTTTTGCTCCCACGGTTTAAACCTTCTCCGCTAATGTATGAGTCATCCATCTGTCTCTCAAATCTAAGGATCGTGGCGCAGATTCAGAGGCATTCAGCACAGGCAGGGCAGCTTGCGTTCGGAAAAGTTTGTGGCCGGGGAACGGAGATTTTGAAGCAACTGTTGAAAAGAGCCGAAGGGACGCGCGTGCGCTTCGCACCAGCTTGTGGCTAGCAGTTTTCACCTTCAGTCGCGGCCGGCAAAGCCGCATGTGCCTTGCAGTGCCACGTACTGGCCTCAATGCACGCGACGCTTGTTGCATGTGATCTACCTGGCAGGTGTGTGTCATTGCAGTGCTGCTGATGCCAAAGCCGGTGCTGCTCAATCGCGAGACGAACGAGATTCTCATCAGGCAGGGACTTTGAGGAAGCTTAACTTCTGCTTCCGCAGCTGTATATAGGGCAGACTGTGAAAGTTGAAGCCTGGTCTCCAGGGCCTTATGCCCATGCCATCCTGATGCTGACTGCTGCATCTGTCGTGCCACTTGTGCTTCTCGGCGGGCAGCACTGCACTGCTAATCTTCCCCATAGGACACGCTTTTGACTTCGCTCATAGTAGCTGTTCGTCTTAGCGAATGCAGAAGGCGTCACAACGACCTTCTTGCCGCGGGCGTGGATGATGTCCTCTACTTTGAACTCTTGCGAGATGTTGCAGCCGGGGCCTGGGTCTATGAGTCTTTGGGGAAACTTTCGGGACCACGCAAGTTGACCAAACAATAGGCCTTTGAGGAGGTAGTTCTCTCAGCAAGAAGCCAGCAATGCAAACGGCCACTTCTCATGAAAGAGTTTGTGAGCCATTCTTCCGAGGTGTATCTCTGAGGGCATGGGATATCCTGCGAGTGCCCATGGAAAGACCCGAATGAATCCCGCCTGTGATCGAGAATCCACATGAGATCCAGATGAGGCGCTCAAACGAGCGGTCAACCTCTCGCGGGCCATGTGGAAGACGAGCTCCTGGCGAAGCTTTGTTTTTGTTCCAGCTGCTGCAGTTCCGAGCTAATTAGCCTGGCTAGTGTCTTGAATTACCATGCCTTTGCTGGAAAAAGCTCTTTCATGATCGCCTGGAGCCGCACCGGCAGCACAACTGAAAGCGGACCATTGCTGTGGCGAGTTGTAGACGTCCATGACAGGAACATGCTGCGTGCCAAGTTGATGCTGAATGCTCCTTGCTCAGTTGGGATGTCTTGTGTGAAGGGAAATTCGAAACGTAGCTAGCTGCGGGTTCGACACAAACGTGCCTCGGAAACGAACGCCCCTCGTCACGCTCACCCCCGCCCCGCCCCCCTCCCCACTCCCACCCCCACTCCCACCCCCACTCCCACCCTCACCCCCACCCTCACACCCACCCCCACTTCCCCTCCTTCACTCAGAGAGTGTTGCTCAACCCACAAAGCTTCTCTGTCTCAAGTGATTCGGGACTCAGGCACTCAGCATTCCGCAAGAAACCATCAGCATTTCGCAAGAAACAGTCAAGAATCCAACGCGTACACCGGTTCCTGCTCACAATGAGTTCTTGGTACTCAGAATCCTTGAATCGTTTTTCGTGATGTCTGTGTCTGCATTTTTTGATGGGACAGCCGTTGGAGAAGCCTTGTTGTGCTCTTGTCTTGTTCGTCGAGGGATTCGGAAGGAAGTCTGAGTCTTCACATGCCGCGTTGGTCCATCTATCCTGCCCAACTGTCACTGTTCAAGTCGTGCAGAAAGCATGTTTCTTTCGCCGCGGGGTATGTGAAGGCCTTGGAGATACCATCTGCAACCACTCAGTTGTAGTTGTAAGTGTGTCGTGTGAGCTCTGGTTGTGTTATTAAGTACCTTCCGCGCATGTGATTCCCGTGTTTGAGTTCAGGTTACGCAGTGACCCGGTTTCTAAAAAGCATTGCGAAACACAAGGACAAAATATGAGATGGGCTTTCTCCGTGCCATATTAAATATTTGCTTCTTGTTCACGAAGACTCTGACGTCTGTGGCGAAGGACAATTGTTTTCTGTACTTCCCATTTCTTTTCGTTTGGACAAACGCCAAGACCAAGATTTGCTGAGTTGAACAACTTTTGGCCTGTGACAATATTTTATTCCGATCAGAACCTCATGTTCATTTTGCCTGACCATAAAAGCATCAAGCAGCGGACGATGAACTTCGTTGTTTGTGATGAGTTGAAGTTGTTAGTTGGTTGCTGGTGCTTTGGTTTCGGTGTCTGGTGTCGTGTCCATGTTGTTCGCTACCCAAGACGAAGGGATGATGACGCCACAATCCGAAAGCAGAACCGTGATCCCAAAGCCAGTTCGGCTCCACTTCCCAGGTCGAAGTGGATTTCGACTCCGCAGAGGAAGCAGCACAAGTGCAAGTGAGCGGCCTCATCTGTGTAGCCTAGGGTCCGGCGTTGTGATGGGAGAAGTGTAGTTGGCCCAGAGCGGGAGTTCAAGGCAAGGCGGCTTCATGTGCCTCAAGGGGATGTGAAAACAAAGCACTAGGCCTGAGAACTGTTCAACTGTTCAGCGCATGGCATCGAATGGCTTTCTAACCTGGACGTAGGTAGAGGTGGACGTAGAGTTAAAGACTCCACACTGGCCCAAAACGAATCCTTCGAAGTTCCTTAAGAGGGATCCCTTACAGGAACATAGTGGATGTCCCGGCGGAGTGCTTAGATGTAAGTATACCTATATACAAATAAATCTATGTAAATATAAATATGAATGTGAATGTAAATATAAATTTACATATCGAGTATAAATATGTATAAGCATGAGTATAAACATATATATAAGTAAATAACTAACTAAATAAATAAATCAATATATGCACTACATATCTACAAATATATAGAATATATATATATATATATAAATATACACATATCTATCCATCTGTCTACCTATCTACCTATCTAATATGTATGTATGTATGTATGTATGTATGTATGTATGTATGTATGTATGTATGTATGTATGTATGTATGTATGTATGTGTGTGTATGTATATATATACATATCTTTGCAAGAGGCGCGCAACGCCCAAAGCTTTTCACTCGAACTGCCCAGCATTTTACGTGGGGAACCCTCGCGCCCCTCGCTGATGTCCGAGGTCGAGCATTCCAGCTTGCTTTGGGACCAGATCCCCAAGACCTTGATGCCAGAGTTCCGCAAAGATCTCAGCTGATGGTGCCCTGAGATGTCTGGGTTCATGCGTCACTGCACGCCGTACAAAGATCAAGAGTTCGTTTCGTGACTCCGATAAGCATAGAATACGTTGACTCCATCTCAGCTTTGTGCACCAGCTGGGCCTGCCCAGGGCCCGTAAACGAGCAGATTCTGGAGACCACGAATATGGTGGGCAATTTCCGCCTCATCAGCAGGCAGATGCAACTTACAAGCTCAAAACCCTAAACCCCAAACCCCAAACCCTAAACCCTAAACCCTAAACCCTAAACCTGAAACCCTAAACCCTAAACCCTAAACCCTAAACCCTAAACCCTACGCATGTTTTCCGGACGACAGCGAAGCTCGAAGATTGCATGGCAAGTCCGAGATTTTGTCTCAGCAGGCTCCCGTGCCACAAGGGCATGGTGCTGCAAGCCAGCCTCTCAGAGCCTCTCAGAGCCTCTCAACTAGGGTTTAGGGTTTAGGGTTTAGGGTTTAGGGTTTAGGGTTTAGGGTTTAGGGTTTAGGGTTAGGGTTTATGGTGTAGCGTTTGGGGTTTATCCATGTTGTATGCAGCTGGGTGTTGAATGGATTGCCTGTTAGTTCATTCATCTCTTGAGCACCAGGCAGTCGACGTGGATCAAAAGGCAGTTGCCGTCAAGATCTTCGAGAAATCGCAGGCTGCCATGGGAGACGCACTTTGTGCACAGCCTTGGTTATCCTGGTTGGGTGAAGTGCGTAAACAAGATCTCACTGGGCAGCTCCAGGTAGCTGAGATTAAATTAACTACGTCGGAACGCAAGAGGCCACTGCTTTCTCAATCGTGAAGGCACCCTGTCTTCAATCAACGCTCCCTTCGCTGCGGCCCCGTGGCCCTAGCCTGTGGCCACACCTGCCAGACGCAAGATCCTGGCTTGCTTGAGAGCATCTACCGCGAGTTCCGGCTCACGGGCGAGGTTGTGAGGCCGGTCCAAGTGCCCCTCCTTTATCGGTTCAAGAGTCCAAGCCGGACAAGTGCTAAAGTGTCTAAAGGGCGATGTGGGCTAGGAGTACTTTTCCAACCAACCTGAAGCCATAATTAACAATCATCTTACGGTCTTCCGCCATCCCAGCAGCCTCGGAGGCATCCCAACATCGCCAAGTGCCTGGACATGCTTCACAGCCTCTCGCGGGTCTACCTCATCATGGAGTTTGCTGGCGGTGTGGCTCCTAGAGGGAACGTATATAGGGTCCACTTCAGAGGAGCTGCTCAAGTACTTGCAACGTTGCTCAAAGAGTTGAGAGACTGCTGAAGTGTGGTGCTGCTGGTGGTTCCTATCCTCGGATCAGGGCCCCTGAGACATTCTTGCTGCGTCATGGTTGCCCATGCTACTCAAGGCTCAAACATCGAGCACATCATCAGCTGCGCCTTGGCAGAGCGGAAAGCAGGTTTTCTGGTGAGCTTCCGCATCATAGGGCAGGGGCCCACCACAAGTACTAGTAGAAAGATGCAAGCTTGCTCTTGCCTATTTGTCCAAGAAGGTCCAGCGTACACTGCATTGAGTTCTGAAACTTAGGGTGGGCGCTCTTTCAATCTCGGGGGCTCCCTACTACTTTCGGGGATTCTGCCGCTTATGCCATATAAGGAGGGGCATGCTTGGAAACTCTCATTCCGTACCTTCACTAGAAGCTCCAAGAAAGTTCTGGGTGCACCCACATCCCACGGAGGTCGCCAAGAGCAGCGCATGACGGAGGCGGAGGTGAACAATTGTCGCTTACGCTGCACCGAGCTTTATCTTCCTTTGGGGCAGAAGGGCATTGCCCTTTTTTTTGAGTCTCTCTCTCTCTCTCTACACACAGAGTTTTCCCATCTCTAGAATACAAGGTGAACCACGACAACATATCTCTATACCTCTTTCTATATACACGCACACACTGTTACACTTTCACACATATACTTATGTGTGGCTCTATATGTATATTATATATGCATATATATATATATATATAGATATGTATGTAAAAACAAATAGATATAGACGGGTGCATACGTGATAAAGGGGCGCATATGTACATCTGCACGCATCTACACGTCTACATATCTATAGACATATGCAGATATGCACGTGCCTGCATTGAAAAAACAACATATTACCTTGTTTGTGCTTTTTCTATCGGTACGACACTCCTTATTAAGGACTCTTAGTATAAAGGAGAACATCCCGAGGAGTTGCTTAAGAATGGTTTAGGGTTTAGGGTTTAGGGTTTAGGGTTTAGGGTTTAGGGTTTAGGGTGCTTGTCAGAATCAGAGAGAAGGGCCAGTGCCTCAAGGCGAAAAAAAGAGCCCCCGGCATCACCTGAGGCTTCGAGCAAGTGGTGCGGGGCGTAGCTCATCTCCACTCCAAGGCTGGTGCTTGGGGTGAGGAAAGTGTAGGGTTTAGGGTTTAGGGTTTAGGGTTTAGGGTTTAGGGTTTAGGGTTTAGGGTTTAGGGCTTATGAGGTTTGCGATGGCATTTGACTTCTGGCTGCAAGTGCTTTGATGCCCACAGACACCACACAAGTAATGCGGTCCCCGGTGTAGTGACCCTCTGTCTGGGTGGTTCTGAGGTTTGGGGTTGGGACTAGATATTGCCATGCCGAACGGATTGCCGAGGAGGAGACATGTTTGCTGGTCCCTGCCCAACCGCTGCCCATGCGCCCCCCCCCCCCACCCCTGACCTAGAAATGAAGTGTTTTAAGGGCTCCAGCGCATGCCCGACCGCTGCCCTTGCTGCCCCCGCTCCCCCCGCTGCCCCCGCTCCCCTCCCGCTGCCCCCAGGAATAGCGGTGTCACCGAATGTTGAACTCCCAACAGCACCCCCACTAATTCACAACGGCGCAATTGCGACGTAGGGTTAACGATTGGCATTCCGCCATCTATTTCAAGAGCTCATCCCGCCCTAAACCCTACACCCTGAACCCTAAACCCTAAACTCCCTTGCCGTGAGAACATCGCCCATCGCAACATTTGCCTCCGACACCTCGTCGTTTCCACCCTGGCTGGCAGCGACAGGCCATCAGAGAAGCTCGGGGAGATTTTGGGTCCCAAAAGACTCCCTTGAGTATTCTTTCTTTTTTAGTTTATATAAACCCAAGAGGATACTAAAAATGGTATGTTATTAAGGTTCTAAGGGGAGTATATAGAAGATGGGTCCCCATATTGTACCTCGAACATGGAAATCCTTAGTGTAGGAGCCCCTATTTGGGGAACCCCTCCCCCCCCCCCCCCCCCCCCCTCTTCCCATTTCAGGCAATTCCAGGCTTGTGGGCGTATTGGGCATTCGAATTCGTCAATGTGCGGTGACGTAGATCACTTGATCTAAGTTTGATCTGGTGGCATAGCCACTTGTGGTATGTTTTTGTGACAGTGGTATTCCAACCATGGAGGTGGCTCTTAAGGCTTTGTGAAGCCCTTCAAGCTTGCGAGTTTGGCGGGTGTTCCAGGCAACTGCAAAGGCATGCCAGCAACACTTGGATTTGCATCTTCATAGTTGCTGGTCTGGGTGGAGCTTTCCGGAAACACACAACACGACACGATGCTCAGGGCTTCTGCGCCCGCCTTAAAAAAAAGCCCCCCGACTCCACGCAACCTGCTCTCGACGATGCTGGACTCCAAGAATGTGCAGCCTTCCCCTCCTGGTTGTCTGTGCTTAAAGAGTCATAGCACGGGTGCAAAAGTTGTAAAAAACCAGAACTGGATCAGCACGGCCATAGCCTTGTGCAGGGAGCACGTGCGGATTGTGGACTTCAAGCGGGCCTGGCACGTTTGGCTGCCTGTTTTCCGAGTGTAGGTTTTGGGTTTTATGCGCACGGGATGTGGAAGAGGCAAGGCAGGTGGCCAGGAAATTTGTTCCAGTTCTGCTGTGTATCACGAGATTGACCCTTGATGGCAGTGAGGATAGAGTCCATTCCCAAAGGCGGTGCTGCTAGATGAACGGATGTTGCCATTGAGTGCCACACTTCTGCTCCATGACGGACGGATAGCTACAGTTCAGACCAACAGACATGCTGAAGATTTCTAAGCCTTTCATGTCCCTCATGCAGACCATGTGCCTCCTGTTTTCTTCAGGCATGCAATGCTGGTAAGAGCCGACATGACCTCTCGGACAGCATCCCTGGCATGTTTGCAGAACACTTAACGTCTTGGACCTGCAGCGTGCTTCTGTGCAAGAACCAGGATTGAGCCCCAGACTTTGAAACCTGACGCGCAAGACTACAGCAGAAGACTTGGCGGGGTGCAGCTGTTTTTAGTCTTCAATGCCGCAGTTACAATCGCGTGAAGGAATCAAACATTGGGGGGAGGGCGCGGGTGAACCCTAAACCCTAAACCCGAAACAAAACGCTAAACCTTGGTACTGGAATCGTGGCATTTGAAATAAGTCATTCAATGGAAGGTCGTGGGATCCATGCCATACATGGCACCCGAAATGGCCATGGGAGGCCGGCGGGCATGAATTTCCACAAAACGAGGGTTTAGGGTTTATAGGGTTTATGGGGCTTAGGGTTTAGGGTTTCTTGAGGGTTACGGGTTGCATGCCGAACTGGCTTGCTGGTAGGATTGAGGTGAGTTTAGACGTCGAGGTATTTCGGGTACGTCTGCTGACAAGCCAACAGCCTCGTAGCCCTAGACCTGTAGAACCTGTGCATTATATATATATATATATATACATACATATATATATATACATATATATATATAGATATGTATATAAGTTCTATAAACCACTAGCTTCCCAATAACCATATAGGCTCCCATCCCATTCCCAGTATACCCTATACACGCTGCTCCCTATAAACCTTACATAAACCTACAAGACCCTGTCTATGACCCTATAGAGACCCTGCAAGCCCCCTGTAAATCCTACAACCGTTTGTTCGCCCCTTCAGCCCTAAACCCTAAACCCTAAACCCTAAACCCTAAACCCTAAACCCTAAACCCTAAACCCTAAACCCTAAACCCTAAACCCCAATAAACCAGGCCCCTACTGGCCTCATTCTGCGGACTCGTGGAGCTGCGGCGTGGTTCTTGCCTCAGTTAGGGTTTAGGGTTTAGGGTTTAGGGTTTAGGGTTTAGGGTTTAGGGTTTAGGGTTTAGGGTTTAGGGTTTAGGGTTTAGGGTTTAGGGTTTAGGGTTTAGGTTTAGGGTTTAGGGCTTCTCAGAAGAAGTTGCAAGGCAGTCTACCTAGACCGGCTTCCGGCTGTCGGGTTCAGGTAGGGCTTTACATTTACCACCCTAAACCCTGTAAACCCTATAAACCCTCAAAACACCCTAAACCCTATAAACCCTGTAAAACCCTCTAAACCCTATAAACCCTACAAACCGCATAAACCCTGCAAACCCCTCTAAAGCCTCTCAGCCCTCTACACCCTAAACTCTAAACCCTCTAGACCCTCTAAACTCCTATAAGCCTCATAATCCCTATAAACCCTCTAAGCCTCACAACACCCCCTAAACCCTCTAAAAACCCTGTAAACCCCAAACAGAAAGCCTTTGAAAGCACCGCCTGGCCGAGTCCCTCCTCGAGATGGCTGGCGGGCTTGGGTCGCTTGCTGCGGCCGTGAAGTTCGACCCGGAGGTCTGGGCGGAGTTCGAGGGTTTAGGGTTTAGGGTTTAGGGTTTAGGGTTTAGGGTGTAGGGTGTTGGGGTTTAGGGTTTAGGGTTTAGGGTTTAGGGTTTAGGGTTTAGGGTTTAGGGTTTAGGGTTTAGGGTTTAGGGTTTAGGGTTTAGGGTTTAGGGTTTAGGGTTCAGCGTTTAGGGTTAATACCGGTTTAGGGTTTAGTTCCTTTTTTCCGGGTTTGGTGTTCATAAGCTTTAGCCAGGATACAGGGTTGGAGCTTCGAAACGGTTTAGGTTTAGCGGGCACCGGCTCGCACACGGTATGTAGTGCTACCCCAAAACGTGTCTACAAGGGCCATTTTCTAGTACAGACCACTGCTCTTCTGTATCCTGGAGAGATGAAACCCCCAGACCTAAACCCCATAAGTTGCTTCACCCTGCGCTCTGCAACAAACACCTGCTGGAAGCGAAGAAGGCTCATTTTTGGTGCAGCGTGTCCTACATAGGGTTTGCTCTAGAGATCAAACTCCCTGCTGAATAGACTGGCAAGTGCATTCCAACCCAGCACACCTCGAAGAAGGTAGGCTGAGAACTGTTGCAAGATGCATGTCAACAAAAGCATCGGCTTCCAGAGCAGTCCTCAGAACAACCACTGAAATGGGAGTTTCCGAAATTCGGGGGTACCTTATTGACGTCCTTATTTTAAAGGGGATCCTATCCTACTAGTTGGGGATCTGTATTGCGGGTCCGGGCTGCCCCTGGGCAGAGTCATCCGAGGGAGTTGTGGCCTGTCAAAACCATGCAAGGCAAAGCTGTATAGATCTCTGGATGCAATCCCTAAACCCTAAACCATAGACCCTAAACCCTAAACCCTAAACCCGAAGGCCGTGCTCCAGCAGAGTAGGTGTCAGATGGGTCGCTCGCGCGTCTGCTCTCCTTGAGCATCACAGGCACCACCCTCGACTATAGCGCCAATGCTCATGCAGTTCTTCGAAGACCCCGGCGCCTGACCCGGGCCGTTCCTGACTTCATTCTGCAACAATCTTATGAGATGTCCTGAGCTTCTGCAGTGCCGCCTTCACTTGATCAGTGTGTCTGTTGAACGTTGCACTGCTGTCCTGAAACAAAAACTGGGGACAAGGCAAGAATTTGCTGGTAGAGGTTGCAGAGACCTCAAACGTAGCCTTCGCCCACCGTGAAAACCCTGCCGTCCAGTCAGCCATGCTGATGCCCTGGCTGCGATTTCGGGTGTCCGAGTCTTAGCCTTGCAAACTATAATTA